GGACCATAGAGCACCCCGTTGGGTGGACAGAGAGGACCTCCCATGGGCCATGGAGACAGGTGGGACCTCCCAGGGACCATAGAGCACCCCGTTGGGTGGACAGAGAGGACCTCCCAGGGGCCCATAGAGACAGGTGGGACCTCTCAGGGACCATAGAGCACCCCGTTGGGTGGACAGAGAGGACCTCCCGGGGGCCCATAGAGACAGGTGGGACCTCCCGTGGACCACAGAGCACCCCATTGGGCGGACAGAGAGGACCTCCTGGGGGCCCATAGAGCAGCCAGCGGCCGGCGAGGCCCTCACCCAAGCACAGGGCTCCCAGGGGAGCGCGTCTCACCAGCTCATCCAGGTTCTTCAGGTCGCAGAGGGCGATGGGCCGGGCCCTGCTGGGGTAGGCGGGCGCCTGGGGGTCCCGGCTCTCCTGGCGCGTGCCCAGCACGCCATAGGCCATTTGGTCCCTCATCTCCTCCTCGATCTCCTCCTCCATCTGGATCAGCATGGGGGCCAGCATGCCGAACTTGGAGCCCCTCCTGGCCACCTCCAACAAGCAGAGGACAAAGTTCTTCTCGTTCTTCTTCAGCACCAAGTCGTTGGTCTCGAACATGAGGACGTCCTGGATGCCGAGGTCCTGCCGGCACCACTGGATGAAGTTGGAGACGTTATCCCGGGCGATGAAGGACCCGGGCACCACGTTCTTGGCTTGGAAGACGACCTCGTTCTGGGGGACGCGCATACGGGCGGCCACCTCGGGGTGCCGCTGCTGGAAGTCCAGGGCGATGCGGTTGACGTTGTTGGCGTGTCGGCAGAGGTGGCAGCCCGTCTCCAGGCTCTCCAGGAAGGTGTCCACCTGGATGTCCAGGTCGTAGAGGGTGTTGAACCACTCGGCCAGGTCCTCCTTCATGGCCTCCAGGTACTCCTCGCTGGAGCGGAAGGGACGGATGCTCTTGGAGGCGGCCGACTGGATGTGGCTCGGGTCGGCGCTGGCGGGCTGCCTGCCTGGGGCGGGGGGGGGCAATGGGTGCCGGTACGGTACAGGCAGACGCGGGCAGGCAACACCCCACAACCCTCCCCC